ACTTGACATCTATGAGTTTCTTCCAAGTGTTTTCCTTTCCATCATTATATCTCCATAGCCATTTATATAATAAGCTTTTATTATGCATTCTCAAATTTCTAACCCCCATGCCGCCTCCCTTCTTCACAGTCATTACCTTTTGCCATTTAACCAAATGTATCTTCCTTTTTTCTACATTTCCTTCCCATAAGAAATTACTTCTCATAGTATTCAATCTTTTCTCCACACTAACAGGTAACTGGAACAAGGACATCAAATAAGCTGGAGTACCATCCAACACACTGCTAATCAAAGTAAGTCTGCCTCCAAAGGACAAATATTGCTTTCTCCAGGTAGTCAGTCTGCTGGAACATCTATCCAAAACTCCCTGCCAGATCCTCTGTTCATTTTTCATGGCACCTAGATTGTAGGTAATTTTTCCACCTTACACCCCATTACCTCTGATAATTCCTCTATACAATGGTCCGCACTTATGCTAAACAAACTGCTCTTTGTCAGATTCACTCTTAAACCTGACACAGCTTCAATAGCTAAAAGGATTCCCCTTAGATACAAAAATTGTTCTTTCTGTGCTTCACAAATCAGTAAGGTATCATCTGCATACAAAATGTGGGAAATATCATAGCTAAGACCACCCCTTCTGCTAATATTCAAGCCTCTAATCCAGCCCATTGACTCTGCTTTCTTCAGCATATTGCTAAAAATTTCCCTGACCAGCACAAACAGATACGGGGATAAAGGGTCCCCCTGCCTTATTCCCCTAGTAGACTTGAAGAAACCTTGAGGACTGCCGTTGATAAGAACTGAAAATCTCACTGTGGAGATGCAATAATCAATCCATCTTATCCATTTTCCCCCAAAATTCATTTGTCTCATGACGCCTGTTAAGCATGCCCAGTTAACATGGTCATATGCTTTCTCAAGATCTAATTTGCATAGCACCCCTTGCCTTTTATTCTTGAACATATATTCCACACATTCATTTGCAACCATTGATGCATCAACAATCTGTCTTCCCCTTATAAAAGCATTCTGATTATCGGAAATCAAGTTCCCTATAACCATCTTGAGTCTTTCTGCTAGCAATTTAGAAATAATTTTATACATAGAGCCCAACAAGCTGATTGGTCTAAAATCTTTTATTTCCTCTGCCTCCCTCTTCTTTGGTATCAAAGCAATAAAAGTAGCATTGAAGCTTTTAGTAAAATTTGCTTCCTGAAAGAATAACTTCACAGTATTCCACACATCTTCTCTGACTATATTCCAACATTTCTGAAAATAATGTAGGTTAAAACCATCTGGACCGGGTGCTTTATCTCCCTTAAATAGTTTTATAACCCCTTCCACCACTTCTATTGTGACAGGTCTCTGCATCCATTCTTTTTCCTCCTCTGTAATTTTTTTTAAGTCATCTCCACTCCACTCTGGTCTCCAAGGTTGAGATTCTCTAAACAAGCTATTATAAAATCCCACAATATGCTTCTTTATCAACTCATCATCCTCAGATAGTTCTCCTTCAATAACAATCTTATCGATGCTATTGTACCTCTTGTGTGCATTTGCTTGCTTATGAAAAAATTTGGTATTCCTATCTCCATGTTCAATCCATAAACATCTAGACTTCTGTCTCCAGGAGATTTCTTCTGCTTTTGCAATTGCTTCAAGTTCACTTATGATAGCACATCTCTCAGCTTCCATTTGTCCAGAATTCTGACTCAATAGCCCTCCTGGTCCAAAGCCTCCATCTTTGATAATGCTCTAGTTTTTCTATCTTCCAAGTTTCCAAATACTTCTTTGTTCCATTTCTTCAGATCTTCTTTTAGCAACTTTAGTTTCTTAGCTAGCTAGCACTTCATCAGCTTTGCCTTGAACCCTATATGAATTTCACCATTTCTCCACCAATTCAATGAAATCTTTATGTTCAAACCACATATCTTCAAATTTAAAATAACCTTTCCCCTTGTTCCAATCACCACACTCTAACATGATAGGACAATGGTCTGAAGTTACCCTGGGCAACACTCTTTGCTTTATGAGTTTAAATTGTTCATCCCAGCTTTCAGAGAGCAAAAATCTATCAATTCTAGAAGCACATTGATTATTTTCCCCTCTGAACCATGTGAAGGCACCTCCATGAAGTAGAGGATCCAATAATGAAAGATCATTGATGATTCTGGAAAAATCCCTCATTGCCCTAGTATTTCTTGCATTACCATTCTTCTCCTCTTCATACCTAATAACATTAAAATCCCGACCAATTGCCCAAGGTTGTGAGATTAAACTAGAAATTGCAGCCAGCTCTTTCCACAATTCCTTTCTCCTCTTTCTGTCACACGGTGCATAAACTCCTGTGAAAGTGACTTGTGAACCTGTGTTCTCCTCTTCCATCAAAGTTGTAAGTGAATGCTGTCCCATATATTTTCTTTGCAATTCCACCTCCTTTTATCCCAATACACAACAATTCCCCCACTGTTACCCTGAGCTTCCAATTCAATCCATTCAGTCCATCTAGAACCCCCTACTTGCACGATATCGTTCTGATTTAAGCCCTTCATTTTAGTTTCAGAGAGACAAACAATGTCAGCATTCCATCTTCTAAGAAGCAAATCCACCATTCTCCTTTTCTGTTTATCATTCATACCTCGAACATTCTAGCAAATGATTCTCATCTTCATTGAGAAACAGACATAGCCCTCCTACCCTTTCCTCTACCACCATCAAACCCACTGGAACTGGATTCTCCTTTGAACTTGACCCCAAACTCGAGCAGTTTCCTCTCTCTCTCTCATACTTTTTACCAGGAGAAGAATTTCTGTGTTTAGAGGAAGATACTGATTTTTTTGGCCTTCCATCTTCAATTCGCAACAGTAATTCTAGCAATCGTTCTTCTGTTTCTATTGACTTAACACCCAAGTCTACAACAACAACAACAACAACAACCCAGTATAATCCCACACGTGGGGTCTGGGGAGGGTAATTTGTACGCAGACCTTACCCCTACCCCGAAGGGTAGAGAGGCTGTTTCCAGGAGACCCTCGACTCAAAAAGCAACCGAAACCGATATATTAGTACCATAAAAATGCATAATAAAATAACAGCAATACAATAATAGCAATACAATAAATATGAAATACAGAATACGACATACGAAAAAGATGACTGGTATGGTAAGACTAGCAGGTAAAGCCCTGCATCAATAAATGACCAATGACATTCTTAGTCTAACTCCTAACTGGCTAGTCTCACTCTATTGTGATGTAGAAATATTCACAACTCTCCCCTAACCTACAACCTTAATACTCGACCTCCATAATTCCCTGTTAAGGGCCATGTCCTCAGTAATCCGAAGTCGCGCCATGTCCTGTCTGATCACCTCTCCCCAATACTTCTTAGGTCGTCCTCTACCTCTCCGCATGTCCACTACAGCCAGTCGCTCACATCTCCTCACCGGTGCATCAGTGCTCCTCCTCTGAATATGTCCGAACCATCTGAGTCTTGCTTCCCGCATCTTGTCCTCTATGGGGGCCACGCCCACCTTCTCTCGAATATCTCTTAACACCCAAGTCTATATAATAAAATATGAGTTTGGGGAGCGTTGTTGCATACAAAGAGAGAATAGTCTACTGCAAGATTTAAGTTATTACATTCCGAAATGTTTCTAAAAAAATTAGTTCCTAGAATATCTGCCAATAGTGCTTCATTTGCAAACACTAGAAGAACTACCAAAATGGTGGTGCTGGCCAAAACCTGCTTCCTGGCCCCTTCCTTAGCTAGGATGTTTGCCACTCTAGTTGATTCTCGGTGGCTTACGGCCGGATTCCCCAACCTTGCTAGCAATAACCTGCATGCAGAAATTACGAAGTTATAATGAAGGTTTCCTCTGTTAACCATGTGTATTACCTCCGCTGAGTCAATAGCCACTTCAAGGGGAGTGAAATTGTTATCCACAGCCAACTGCAACCCCTGCAATTGTGCTAGTAATTCTGATCGAGAGTTACTAGTGTGTGCTAGACCTTTCATGAAGCCCATTACCTAGTCACCACTAGGGGTATCAAATGGGCGGGCTGAGCCGATTTTGGACGGGTCAAAATAAGCTAGGTCAATAAAGGGGTGGGTCACTGACCCCATTCAAAAGTTACTTGGTTGAGATAGGCTGGGTCAAGATGAGCTTAAATTTGGGTCGCCAACCCTCCCAACTCTTACTAAGCTTTAATTAATATGTGTTGTTTTCTTGTGAATTGTATAATTACTAAATAAGACTGTTTTCTTTTGTTATGGTCATATATAACATATCAAACAAAAAGGAATTATTTCTAAGATATTTTGGCAAAGTTACTCATGGATCAATTTGGGCTAAAAATTAACCCAACTTTAAATGCGTTGAAATGGGTTGGGTCAAGATGAGCTGAGCTCAATAAATGGGCGGATCAATAACTAGCCCAACCTTGGGCAGGTTGGGTGGGTCATTTGGGCTTGGGCTAAATTTGACAGCCCTTGTCAGCACTACTATTTTTAAAAAACCCCTCCTATACCACCTGCCCTTGGATTTGTTAAGCTAGAGCCATCAGTGTTGAGCTTATAGGAACCCTTGTGTGGGGGTTCCCGTTTAACATTGATGGTCTTCTTAGTAGCGGTTGAAAGGTTGTCTTAGCAACGAGGAGAAATTCCACTGCCTCAGCAATGGTGTTCTTAATAGGTAGCCTCTTCTTTGTTATTGAACATGTTGCTATTTCTGGTTAGCCAAGTGTGCCAGAAGCAGAATGGGAGGAGGTGTCCCCGGGTGATGTTGCTGTTAAAGTCTATGCTCCTAATTTTGGAGTAACAGACCATCCATGAGCTTGGAAGTTAAGGGCATTTGTACAAGAACTGTAGGTGCATTCTTGAGCAATGCTCATCTACAGTGAGAGATAAGATCATCTACAATTTCTTTATTACAAAATAACAATAAATAGAAGTTGATAAAACTGCATTTTTTTGTTGAGATGCATATATCGTATATGAAAATTTTATCTGCCTTTTCCTATTTAGGGAGTATAGATAAGATCAGAATTACTTTAGAAGTTTTCCAAATTAGGAATAAATGGAAATTGCATCTATGCGCTTGAGTATACTATTAAAAGTAAACCAGAATGCTCCTTACTAGAGCAAGAAAGTCAGGCCATCTATTTCAACAGTTTAATGCAAGCTCCTGAGTGGAGGATGACTAAGCTCGGATAGGTACTTATGCACAAGCTGGTACAGTGCTTCTGGTTTAGATGATAGCTAATTTAAGATCTAAATTCGTTTACAATTAGTCTGATATGGAAAAAAAGCTTTATTAAAAAGAAAAAAAATTGTTTTATCTCTTTTACCAGATAGAGGACCATATCATGATCTGATGGTTTAGCATCTATTATCTGATGGTTTTTCCATGTGATTGTTTGCTTTTAGCTGACATTTCCACTATACATAATGTTTAATTGATTATGTGTTGGAATGCTTTCAGATGAAAAAGATGCTTCACTAAAACAGGCGAAGTGCCACAGTGAAGCTTCTTACCCTTCATCAGGTGTTGAGAAGGTTATACCTGATGATTGTTCAAGTGCATTCCAGGCCGAGAATATGGATGAGTCTAGTTTGGATAGTGCTAATGTACCAAAAGAAAGGCCAATGTCTCCGGGAACATTAGCACTCATGTGCGATGAACAGAATACGATTTTTACTGTGGCTGCTGCTCCCCCTAATGACCCAACAAGCCTTAGCAATAATACATCTTCCCAACTTCCTCATGGGCAGGCCATGAAAGAAGTCTACCCAGAACTGGAGAAGATCGTGTTGACGCGAACTCGTGATTGCCTTAAAAAGCTGATCACTTTAGGAGAATTAAAAGGTTAGTTTCTAATCTTTTCTGTCTGAAAATCTGATTCTACTCATTAATTGATAGCACTTGCCAAATGCATCTGAATCAATGAAACCAATAATAAGCCCTAAAATTCCTATCAGTGAATATGTGCCCTTAGAATGATACAACAAGAAAGCTTCTCAATTGTCACGGCACAAACTCCTACCAGAGCCGTGACGGCGCCTAACACTGCTTGCTAGGCAAGCCAATCCTTCCGCAATAACAATAACTAAATTAATAGAAGCTTGATAATCTCAACAACAGTAATATCATAACATATCTGAGAAAAACAACAATAACACAACTACAGCTATCCCAATAATTTGGTGAGTACATGAGCACTACAGAATCTCAAAATACATAGCCAAATCTTCGGTACAATACGATAGAACAGTGATAACCAAAATAAACAAAAGAAAACTTCAAGGTCTGCTAACGACATAACAGCTACCTCGTAGTCTTCACAAGCTGAATCCGATGCAAACCTCTAATAATCGCCATGCCCCGAAGTACCTGGATCTAAACGTAGAGTGCAGAGTGTAGTATAAGTACAACTGACCCCATGTACTCAATAAGTAACAAACCTAACCTCGGGCTTAAAGCAATGACGGACTCAAAAGAAAGTTTCAACACTAATAATCAATAACAACTCATAATATAATGAAAACAGTGAAGTATATAACTTAGAAGATATCATGTTCAGTTCGTTCACAATTATAACAATCAAAGTCCAATCTTTCACCAAAATTTCTAAAATATGAGATTATCGAGGAAACTGTGATTTTCCCAAACTTTCAACAATAGATAAGACATTTCATTTACCAACTAGCATGAGAAAAATACATCTCTATGCCTACATGTCAAGTCAATAACATCACAGTGAAATCATCAAGTACACTCACTCTCAGCACACTCAAGGTGCCTGGCACAAATGCCCCACACCATCACACACACAATCTCTCAGCACTGTACGGGTGCCTGCCCCACACCATCACACACACAATCACTTAGCACTTTACGGGTGCCTGGCACAAATGCCCCTCACCAAAACACATATATATCACTGCGCCTGCGCTCACTATAATGTCAAACTCCGGAGGGGCGAATCCTGGACCAAGCGCTAATCAATAATCAATGTTAATTTGTTGCGGCGTGCAACCCGATCCAAATATCAATCTGTTGCGGCGTGCAACCCGATCCAACATAACTCACAACACGGCTCTATGACCCACATCAGTCATCAACCGCTCAAGTCTCAATGGCTCACATCTCATAAAACTCAGCCCAAACAGTATCACATATAGAAGGCAACAACAACACGTGATATGACAAACAAATAATGTACAGAGACTGAGATACAACATGCGGATGAAGAATTATGACTGAGAATATTGACTACAATTAAGGCAAACAACTCAAAACAACAAGATCAACCTTATTATGTCTCAAACAAATAAGTTCATAGCCTAGACATGATTTCTAACACGAGTCATTAGTCAAATGATCATGCAAGTAGAGAAAACATGGATATAGAGAAATCACATAGGTTTTTTCGTTATAAAAAAATGACAACTTACTTTTCTCTTTCTTTATAAAAAATTAATTTTGCTTGTTTTACTCTTTGCAGATTGTTTGAATTCAGCACCAACCATTATTGCTAATTTTGATGAATAATTGAGGTTCATGACTCACTTGTACGAGAACCAAATTAATTTTTTTTAAAGCAAATTATACTACTAGGCGGGCTGCCTAGTAGCTATTTTATTAATTATAAAAAGAAAAGACCACAAAGGAAGAGTACAAGTAAGGGGGGCAAACACTACAGTAGTGTTGCCTCTATAGCCTTGGCTATATAATCATCCTTGTGCACCTCCATTGACTTATGATGGCAGCCTCAAGATGTGGCTGCCGGCAAAGTCTCACGAGAGCGAATGATCTCATAGCCGTTTGGATTATTCCCAAAGGCATAGGACATATAGCAAACACTAACTGAGCTAGACCTTACCTTACAATTCCTATTGAGGCATGAACAACCTCATCTACTAGCAAGCATGTAAGAAATAAGAACTAGAAATAACTAGATACTCTATGATTATCACAGAGTTTATAACACTCTGACGGTATTACATATGATTATGCTAATTGTGGAAAGAGTAAGAAACTTGAATAATTTCATTCATATATTTGAATGTCATATACATGGCTTTATATACAAGAAGAGGTTAGAAACAAAATCCCATAAAATCTGGGATAAAATAAAACAAAGAATCAAAATTTGATATGGAAAGATCTTAGAGAATCAAAACTTGATATGACAAATCTTAGAGGATCAAATCTTGATATGGAGAATATCTTCTTGGAAATCCTCTATCATTCAACACTCCCCCTCAAGCTGGTGAATGGATATCTTTAACCATAACAACTCACAAACTCCCATCGCCATAGATCTGAACTTGATCTGGCCACCACATTCTGTTTTTTACTTCTCCAAGTCACAAGATTTCCTCCTAAAAAGGTATAGTATCCAGAAGTTGACCTTCGATCCACTAATGAACCAGCATAATCCGCATCAGTATAAGCCTCTAAAACCATGTCTCCTCCTCTTCTGAATAGTATTCCTTTTCCGGGGCTTCCTTTACGATATTGTAGAATCCTGTTCGCCGCTTGGAGATGCATTTCTCTAGGGTCCTGCATAAATTGGCTAACGACACTTGGAGCAAAAGCAATGTTTGGCTTTGTATGGGACAAGTAGATCAATTTCCCTACAAGCCTATGATACGAGCCTTTATCTACCACAGAATCTTCTGGAGAATTACACAACCCATGATTATATTCAATTGGTGTAGTCACTGGTGGTTTACACCCTAATTTTCCTGTTTCTTTCAACAAATCAAGCACATATTTTTGTTGGGAAATAAAGATTCCTTGTTTAGAATGTGCTACTTCAATTCCCAAAAAATACTTTAATTTTCCAAGATCTTTGATATCAAATTCCTTGAGTAAACAATTCTTCAAATTGTGTATCTCCTCTGAATCATCACCTGTTACTATGATATCATCTACATAGACTAGTAGAGCAGTTACCTTTCCTGTTTTTGAGTGCCTTATGAACAAGGTGTGGTCTCCTTGACTCTGCCGATAGCCTAGCTTGATCATAACCTTTGTAAATCTTCCAAACCATGCACGGGGTGATTGCTTTAGTCCATAGAGTGCCTTCTTCAGTCTACATACCATTCCCTTCTTGCTTTCAAAATCAGGTGGTACCTCCATATACATCTCTTCATCTAAATCTCCATGTAGAAAAGCATTTTTAATATCAAATTGCTGTAGGTTCCAATTAAAAATCGCAGCCAATGACAATAAGATCCTCACTGTATTCATTTTTGCCACTGGGGCAAAAGTCTCCAAATAATCAATTCCATAGGTCTGTGTGTAACCCTTTGCTACCCATCGTGCTTTAAATCTTTCTATAGACCCATCGGACTTGTATTTCACGGTAAACACCCATCTACATCCTACCGGCTTTTTCCCTTTTGGTAATCCCATCTAATTTCACGGTAATCAATTCCCTTTTGAGGGGAGTGTTGAATGATAGAGGGTTTCCAAGAAGATATTCTCCATATCAAGATTTGATCCTCTAAGATTTGTCCATATCAAGTTTTGATTCTCTAAGATCTTTCCATATCAAATTTTGATTCTTTGTTTTATTTTATCCCAGATTTTGTTAGATTTTATGGGATTTTGTTTCTAACCTCTTCTTGTATATAAAGGCATGTATATGACATTCAAAAATATGAATGAAATTATTCAAAGTTTCTTACTCTTTCCACACCAACCAATCCTAAAAATAATACAGACCTGCTCGAGACCTTAAATCACATAAAGCAACATCAATACCACGAATCGCACTTCGATTCAAGCCTAAGGAACTAATGAATTTTTAACTTCTAAAACTCGAACCATATCACATCAACTTGGAATGACCTCAAATTTTGCATAAAAGTCCCAAATGACACAACGGACTTATTCCAGCTTCTAGAACTACAATCCAAAACCGATATCATCAAAGTCAACTCCCGGTCAAACCTATGAACCTTCAACTTTCCTACTTTCGCCAAAAAGCACCAAATCAACCTATGGACCTCCAAATCTGGACATACGCCTATATCCAAAATCACCATACGAACCTATTAGAACTATCAAAACACCATTTAGGAGTCGTCTACACAAAAGTCAAACTCTGGTCAACTCTTAGAACTCAAGCTTCCAACCTAGGGACTAAGGGTCCCAACTCACTCCAAAACCTCCCCGTACCCGAACCAACCATCTCTACTAGTCATATAACAACAATTACACATATGTAAAGCATCGAATAGGGAAAACAAACTAAAATACTTAAAACAACCGGTCGGGTCGTTACATCAATCAATCAACCAACTTCGCCTCAATTGAAGCTATGCAGGGACCGTCCCGCTGTATAAATCCTCTTATAACTATTCCACTCCATGTGGTCCCAACTCATTCCAATATTAAGACAAACTAGGAATTCACTGCAATAGGGTAAATCCCAGACCTACAATACTAATATACAAATCTCCAACCATGCTTGAATAGTTACCATATACCAGACTTATTTGTTACCAGCAAGTTAGTGTTACCCATATGGATTATTTTCTTTAAGTATGCACATGTAGTTTATTGAAAAGTATGAGTTTTGGAAAAATTTGAATAAGAAGTTATAGTTGTGTGCTGAAATAGTTATGGATTCCTTTCTCCATGCCAAGGACTGCGAAAGTGAGGTAGGCCTCAATTAGAAAATTCCAATAAATAAACTTGGCAAAATACATAAGTTACCCATGAACTATGGACCAAATCCATGTTATACATTTTTTGCGAACGAAGTTCACCTTACACACTCAACCTTTCTAGAGTGTCTAACACACAACTTTGCCTACGTGGCCAGCGCGTGGTTTACCAACAAAATGAGG